TTTTCCAAACTCATGCTTACTGTGCAGACTTTTACTCAGGCCAGTGCACTCAGCATGGAACTCTCCCGGGGGAGTGATGTGGGGTGCTGGCTGGCTGGAATGCTGCTGCACAGCCCAGCACTCTCCTGGGTCCCTGAACTATCTCCCCCGAATCATCCCCGTTTGGCATTTGGCCCCTGCCAGTCGTAGTTCAGGCCTGACTCCTAGGAGCACTCCATCCCAATGCTTCTTGCCCCAGGAGGGAGCCTGTTGGCTGGGGAAGTGGAGTGAGGAGTGGGGACAGATATGTGGATAAATGAAGCATCCACTCAGCGACCCCCCCGCCCCCAGCCACCTTTCTTCCATCCTGAGCTCTGCTTGATCTCCTCCCTATGGTCCACATGAGCGGCGGGCAGGGTAGCTCCATCATTGTCTAAACCAGTGGTTCTCAAAGTATAATCTCAGGACCCTTGGGGCCCCCAAGACACATTCAGGTTCTACCTTAAAAGTAGACATTCAGCTATCTGTGTGTATGACACCAGGTTTTCATCATAAACGTCAACCGGAACAGCATATTGTTGAAGTGTAGGGACAGGTCTGAGAGTCCAGCTATCTTTTACTAAGCCAGATGCTAAAATACTTTTTGCAAATATGTAAACAGTGCCACATTTTTCACTGATTTTTTAGGGGGTTGGAAATTATGGTTATTTTATATAAGAATCATGTCATTTACATTAACATGGGTTTATTTTTTAAATGAATAAATATTTAAGTTTTTTCCATTTTATTTTATTTTTTAAAATAAATCTTTATTGTTCAAATTATTACAAACGTTCCTCATTCCCCCCCCCCCTCCATTGCTCCCCTCCACTAGGTTCCTCTGCCCTTTCCCCACTCCCCATAGGTGCACAGTTTATGTTCAGTCTCTTCCGTACCCCCCCACTCCCCTTCCCCCCCCCCAGAATCATCAGTTCATTCCCCTTCCATACCTCTGATTCTATTATATTCACCAGTTAATATTGTTCATCAGATTTTTTAATTCCCTTGGTTTTTAGATTACTTGTTGATAGTTATGTATTTGTTGTTCATAATTTTTATCTTTATTTTCTTCCTCTTCCTAAAGAACCCCCTTCAACAATTCATATAATTCTGGTTTGGTGGTGATGAACTCCTTTAGCTTTTTTTAAATTTTTTTATTTGTGAAGCTCTTTATCTGGCCTTTGGTTCTGAATGATAGCTTTGCTGGGTAGATTATTTTTGGCTGTAGGTTCTTGCTATTCATCACCTAGAATATTTCTTGCCATTCCCATCTGGCCTGCATGGTCTCTGTTGAGAGATCAGATGATAATCATATGGGTGCTCCTTTATAGGTAACTACCTGCTTTTCTCTTGCTGCTTTTAATATTCTCTTTGTCTTTTGCTCTTGGAATTTTAATTATGATGTGTCTTGGTGTGGTCCTCTTTGGATTCCTTTTGTTTGTGGTTCTGTGAGCTTCCTGGACTTGTAAGTCTAACTCTTTCACCAGGTGGGGGAAGTTTTCTGTCACTATTTCTTTCAGTATGTTTTTGATATCTTGCTCTCTCTCATCTTCTGGGACCCTCATAATTCTGATGTTGGTTCGCTTAAAATTGTCCCAGAGGTTTCTTACATTATCTTCAACTTTCTGGATTCTCTTGCCTTCTTGCTTCTGTGGAGGAGTGTCTTCTGGCTCTTTATGTTCCAAATCTTTGACTTGATTCTTGCAATCTTCCATTCTGTTTTTAGGACTCTGTATAATATTTTTTATTTCAAACAATATATTCTTTATTTCTTGTTGATCTCTTTTTATTTCTAGTTGATCCCTTTTCATATCCTCATAAGTCTCATTTATTTTATCAACCTTTTCTAGGAAATTCTTGAAAAACCTTATAAGAGTGGTTTTGAACTCTATATCCAGTTGCTTTTTGTCCTCCATTTCTTTCGTTTGTGATCTGTTTCCTTGTCTCAGCATTTTCGCTGCTTCCCTGAGTTGGTAGGGTGGCTTTGTGTGTTAAGGTGTCCTATACGGTTCAGTGGGTCAGTCTCCCAGTTACCTGAGGTAGACACTCTTGGTGCCCCCTTTTGTGAACTGTGTGTACAGCCTTGTTGTAGTTAAGTCTTGATTGTTGTTGATATCACTGGGAGGAACTTACCTCCAGGCCAATTGGCTATGAGGATCAACTGTGTCTATGCCAGGAGAAAGCCTTATTCAACTAGACTTGGAAAATTGCAAAAGCCTCTGTGCTCAGCTTGGATGGGGCGGAGTTTCAGGGTGGAGCCTACAGCCTTGGCTTACCATCAGCCCTGCCCTATGAGGTTCCTGAGTCTCAGTGTTCCTCAGTGTCCTTTGGTACTTGCTGCAAGCACCTCTGAGAGAAAGGTGCCCTCAAGTTTCACCCACTACCAAACAGTCTAGGCTCTCCCCCAATGAGCCTGGAAATGGGGTTCAGTGCAGTCGGAACTGGGGTTCAGCACAGTCTGGAGCTTTTATCTCCTTCCTGCTAGGGAACGCTAGCCAGGCACTCAGGCTCCCCCTCCTCTTTAGCTCCTTCCTCTCCCCACGTGCACTATGTCTCTGTACCTTAGGCTTTTACAGCTACTCTGATTTTCCTTCTGGTTTTCTCTTTCCTTCTAGTTGTAGAATTTCCAGTCAGTCAACTTTCCTGTAGTTCTGGATAATGTCCATTTTGTATTTTAGTTGTATTTTTTTGAAATTGTTGTGTGAGGCTGCAGTTAGGTGTTTACCTATGCCACCATCTTGGTTTTTCCCTCAGTTTTTTCCATTTTAATCACTGGATGGTAAGTTGATACTATAACCCACATAAACAAACACTTTTTGGAATCCTTGATAATTTATTGTTGTTGTTGTGAATCCTCACCAGAGGCTATTTTTTCCCCCTGTTGCTTTTTAGAGAGAGTGGAAGGGAGGGAGGAAAGTGTGGAGAGAGAGAGAAGGAGAGGGAGAGGGAGAAAAGGGAGAGAATGGAGAGGGGGAGAAATAGAGAGAAAAAGAGGGAGAGAGAGAGAGAGAGAGAGAGAGAGAGAGAGAGAGAGAGAGAGAGAGAAACATCAACTGGTTGCCTCCCACACAAGCCCCAGCTGGTGGTGGTGTAGGGGATTGAACCCACAACCAATATATGTGCCCTTAACTGGGAATCAAATCCCCAGGACCCTTTAGTGTGTGGGCTGATGCCCTAACTATTGGGCACACCAGCCAGGTGGAACCCTTGATAATTTTGATCAGTGTAAAGGGGTCCAGAGACCATAAACTTTGAGAACTACTGATCTAAGTTACCCATTGTTTTCTCAGGAAGCCAAATCTCAGCTCAGCATATAGGAGAATTGTCAGAAGATGTGTGGCTTTAGTGTATATTTATTATACTACAGTTACCTATCATTTCTATCAGCATTTTAGGTAGTCTCCATTTGGAATGGGTTTTGGTTTTGTATTTAGAGAAGTACCGGGTGGGTGATCAGATCTAAAGTGAAAGCAGATTCTATGATCAGAATCTGAGAGGGCACCAGGCAGTGACTGAGTGCCAGCTGAGTTCCTCATTGACCCTGGAAGGAGCAGCCTTTCCCAGGAGCCATGACTCTGAAGCCTGGGACTGAGGGGTGGGGGCTAGAAAGGAGCAGGGAGGATGCCAAGAGACTGAGGATGTCTATGCTCACTCTCTAAACCTTGCTACTGGCCCTTCACCCCAGCCCGTTACTCCCAGGCCTGCCCTGCTGCCCACAACCCCCAGCTGACTGGTCCTGCAGACTCTGAGGGGCACCCCCCCCCCCACCTCAGTGCTCCTGACCTACTCTGAGCTCTTGGTTCTGCCCTTGGCCCTCTGGCTTCTGTTTGTACTGGACCCAGGCCTTTCCTACTGGGCTGTGACGGGCTGCCCCTGGCTCTATCCTGTGTGCTGTCTCTGGCTGGAGTCCCTGTTCCAGCTTGAGCTTCATGGACTTGGACACCAGCCACTTGGCCAGTACCCTGGCCAGGCCAAGAGAGGCTGTGGAGGATGTGAGCAGAGATAACAGGACAGAGCAGCCTGTTTACAGAAGTTCTTCTGTATAGATTGGCACCTCAACCTACTTGTCACCTGTGATGGCCACAGGGATCACTTGAAACGGAGTGCCAGGGAGTGAGCTGGGACTCTCCAGGGACTCACCTGCAGCTGAAATTCTGAACTCTAAACCATTCTACATAATGAAATAGTCTCATTTTAAGTCACAATTATTCTTACAATGAAATAGTATGCTAAAAATAATTTGCTAACCTTTGCTAATTTCCTCCTATGTGCCGGGTGAAATGATTCATTTGTTTTACAATTATTTATTGAACATCTATGTTGTTCAAGAAGCTGTGAGCAAAGCAGGCAAAAATACCTGTTTTTATGGAGCTGGCATTTTAGTCTGGGAGGAGGCAGACTAAACTCACAGACAAGAAATGTTTAGTGTGTCACATGGTTGTAAGTGCTGTGGGTGAAAATCAAGCATGGGAAACTGGAAGAGAAGTAAAAACGATCTCTGTCCACAGGCAACAAGATCTTATATGTAGAAAACCCTAAAGATTGCGCGCTCGTGTGCGCGCGCGCACACACACACACACACACACACACACACACAAACACACACACAATATTAGAACTAATAAACTCAACAAAATGGTGGTATTCAAAATCTACTACTGTTTTTCATTAAAAGGAAAGTAAAGTCATGCACTTTCCATGAGCAGAAGAGGAAGTGCCCGTGTCAACCTGGCAATGTCACTAGGATATAGATTCATCGTTACTTGCCATCGATATTGGTAAGTTAGTGATTGCAGAAATAGTCAGAAAACTTTCCATAGCAGCAAGGAATTTGGTAGGAAGAGGAACTGTCAGAATGCTACAATATTGTTATTGTGAAAGGAGAAATATATTTTTAGACAGAGCCATGAGGCTGCCACCTTACATCATTCCTGCATGGGGCTTTCTTGGAGTCTCCAGGGTCCCAGGAGAGCAGAAGCCAAATGGAGAAGTACAGCATATATGACAGACCTTCCAGCACTCTGTCCAAGTTCCTGACTTTGAGGCCCCAGCAGAGAGTGAGCAGAGATTATGAAGGGCCCCACGTGGGGGCCACAGAGAGAAGGTTGGATTTTCTTGCTTTTGTAGTCATTGGAGGGTTTTTACAATGGAGGGGGAGGGGAAGGAGGGAAGTAGAACACAATGCTTATTTTAAAAATACTGTAGTGCCTTTATCAAAACTTACAAGTTGATTAAAAAACCTATGGAAATTAAAAAACAAACAAACAAACAACAACAAAAAAAAAACACCCACCCTAGAATCATTAAAGCAATTATGAAAAAGGACACATGGGAAGGTTCTCATTCCTTGATTTCAAGACTTATTATAAGACACTCAGATTATGTAGTATTGGCACAGGACAGACAAATAGATGAATGGAACAGCTGGAGAGTCCTGAAATGAACCCGCAGGCACACGATCAGTGGATTTTTTGACAATGTTGTCAAGGCAATTCCATGGGAAAAGTCTTTTCAATAAATGGTATGTGAACAACTAGATAAACGCAGGAAAAGTTGGCCTTGATCCCTACCTCACACCACACACAGAAATAAGTTGAGACATGTGATACACCCTTATATACATTCTTAAATTACGAACTTTGTAGGAAGACAAAGGAGACCATCTATGTGACTTTAGGATAGGCAGAGGTTTCTTCAAGAGGATCCCCAAAGAGCTAAACATGTAAACAAAAGAACTGTTGTTCATCAAAAGACATTGTTTTAGCCGAGACCGGTTTGGCTCAACGGATAGAGCATCGGCTTGGGGACTGAAGGGACCCAGGTTCAATTCCAGTCAAGGACATGTACCTTGGTTGCGGGCATATTCCCAGTAGGGGTGTGCAAGAGGCAGCTGATTGATGACTCTCTCTCATCGATGTTTCTAACTATCTTTCTCCTTTCCACTCTGTATAAAATCAACTATATATATATATATATATATATATATATATATATATATATATAAAACATTGTTTTAAAAAATGTTAAAAGACTTGCACAGGCAAGCTCTAAAACTATAGAAATGGCAATAAACATATAAAAATGTGGTCAACATATTTAGCCTTCTCAGAAATGCATATCCTACCTAATAAAAGAGTAATATGCAAATTAACCACCACTCTGCTACACTCACAAGCCCTGCCCTCCAGCCATGCCCACCAGCCAATCAAGTGAATATGCAAATAAACCCAACCAAGATGGCTACAGCCCCTGAGAGCAGGAGGGAGGCTTGGGTTTTCCAGGCAAGAAACCAAACTTTCTGCCTGCCCTTGCCAGCCTAGGCCTCCACTCAAGGCTACAAAGTTTCAATTATAGAAGGTAAACAAATCCAAACAGAAATGGCTGCCAGCCACAGAGTGAGCAGCAGGCTTGGCTCTGCTCCAGGCTATAAGTTTCAATTGTAAAAGGTAAATAAATCCCAGATACCAGGGCCTCCGCTTGGGTCTCTGGGGAGCATGGCTGGCCTGAAAACCACCACAGGCCATCCCATGCCTCAAGGGAACCCCCACCCTCCTCTGGGCCACCCTTCAGGGCAAACCAGCTGGCCTCCACCCATGCACCAGGCCTCTATCCTATCTAATAAAAGAGTAATATGCAGATTGACCATCATTCCAATACACAAGATGGCTGCCCCCATGTGATCAGAGATTCTGCCCCCATGTGGACACAAGATGGCCACTACAAAATGGCCAGCAGGGGAGGGCAGTTGGAAGGGACCAGGCCTGCAAGAGAGGGCAGTTGTGGGTGATCACGCAAGCAAGGGAGGGTAGTTGGGAGGCACCAGGCCTGCAAGGGAGGGCAGTTGGGGGTGATCAACCCTGCAGGGGAGGGCAGTTAGGGGTGACCAGGCCAGCAGAGGAGGGAAGTTGGGGGCAAACAGGCTAGCAGAGGAGCAGTTAGACATCAATCAGGCTAAAATGGTTAGGGGGTAAGGCTGGCAGGCAGAAGCAGTTAGGGGCAATCAGGAAGGCAGGCAAGTGAGCAGTTGGGAGCCAATAGTCCACCGGGATCAGGCCTAAATGAGCAATCAGACATCCCTCAAGGGGTCCCAGATTGGAGAGGGTGCAGGCTGGGCTAAGGGACACCACCACCCCCTTCCCCTTCCCACTCTCCCCTGTGCATGAAATTCATGCACTGGAACTGTAGTCCTATATAATAAAAACATAGTATGCAAATTGTCTCTGTCAACCAGAGTTCTTCTAGGAGTTGGACCAGGGGCAGGAGGGCAGGGGGAAGGGAAGGAGTACCTGGCTGACAGCTGACAACTGCTAGGGACCCTACCAGTGCATGAACTTTATGCACTAGGCCTCTAGTTTAAACCATAATGAGTCCTGGTCAGTGTGGCTCAGTTGGTTGAACATTGTCCTATGCACCTAAAGGTCATGTTTTTTTTTTTACTGTTTAAATTATTACACACAGTAGTACATGTATCTCCCTTTTCCTCCCCATTGACTTTCCCCCAGCCTTTCCTACCCGCTGTCGCATTCCCTCATCCCTCCTCACTCCCCCCAGTGTCTTGTGTTCTGTTACTGGTCAGGGCAGATACCCAGTTTCAGGTTTGATTGTCAATGTTTCTATCTCACATTGATATTTTTCTCTCCCTCTTTCTTCTTCTCTTTCTTAAATCAATAAAAATAATCATATTTAAATCATAATGAGATGACCTCTCACTCTCTTCAAAATAGCTGAAAATGGGAAAGACTGGCTATCCTGATGAGGACGGAGAAGCTAGAACTCTCATAGGTTGTTGATTGTAGAGGAAATGGTACAACCATTTTGAAAAAATATTGGGCAGAAACTTGCCCTTTAACCCAGCAATTGCATTCCTAGGGAAATATGTCCACAAAAAGACTGGTCCATGAATGTTTATATAAGCTTTATTCATAATAAGTTTAAACTGGAAACACTCAAATATTCATCAGGAAGAGATTGGACAAACTGTGGGAAATTCATATGTGGCAAACGGCTCAGTCCTAAAAAGAAGGAACTGCCAATAAGCAGGAATACTTCTTCGCATGAAAGAACACAGACAGAAAAGAGCACATTCTTACTGTTCCCTGTAAGTCAGGAACCGGCAAAGCTAATGATGGTGATAAGAGAGAGCGGTGGTTCCCTGTGGCGGTGGGATGCTCTGAAAAGGGGCCTGGGGACACTTCCTGGAGGTGATGGGGACATTCTGTGATTTTTTATTTTATTTTTATTGTTGCACGGGTAGATAATTGACCAGAACTCCTGCACTTAAGCTCTGTGCATTGCACTCTATGTCAATATTATCTTAATGATATTATTAATAATATTAGTACCACCACAGTGTCTGATGTTTGAGGCAGATGAAGCAGGAAGGCCAGTGGGGAGGCTATTACCAGAGTCCAGTCAGCTGATGGTGGGAGATGCAGGAAGGGCCCAGCTGGGGCTCTGCCCTGGAGGGAGGTTCAGGACTTGTTAGCCTGGAGGCAAAGGTCTCTTTCCACCAGGATCAGTGAGTCCAAAAGCCCATTTATTTATTTTGTTTGAACATTTTACTCTGACCCCTTCTCTTTCTAAAATAATTTGAGGCTAACTATAGCAAAGGGCTTGTATTTAATAAAACTGAGAAGACACAACTAAAATAAAAAATTGAAACCAGAAGGCAAAAGAAGCAAATATGTCTGTTTGGAGACTGATATGAGAAAGCAGAGATCAGGCATCTGCTCAGTCTCCTTGGCTGGCACCTACCAGGGGCTGCTGATGGGTTGCCAGGGGGCAGCGAGGGTCTTTAATATCAGAGGAAAGACAGCTCAGATGATAGACCCCGCAGTGCTGGACCAAGTTGACTTTAGTGGAAGAAGAATATATCTGCCTTTTAGCTAGATACTCTCTGGGACTCATAAAACTAAAAATATACATTTTTGTAGAATTTGATTTGTGACAGATGATTATTATGCCATAGAGGTCTAAAACATCAAGTGCTCTACAAAGAAATGGGGGCTGTTTTAGGGAAAAGTACCTGCCTTTTGTTTGAGACTGAACTTAATAAGCAGAAATGTAAATAGTGTGGGGTGTAATTTAGGATAAATTCCAAGCCTAAGTTTATCCCCCATGCATTTATGGAACCATTATCATTTAGAATTACTACAAACTAACATTCTGATATGATCATTGAGCATGGTTTGAATATATCAAGTCTAAATGAAGGCAGCTATTGACACGGAAATACTGTGCAAGTGTATGGTGAAATACACATCATTTACTGATTGATTATTATCTATACAGACAGTTCATTATGTGGCCAATTGAATGAGAGTCCCCTTGTCCATATTAGACATTCCTTAATTAAGAACAATGAATAGCCAAAACCAGTTTGGCTCAGTGGACAGAGCTTCAGCCTTCGGACTGGAAGGCCCCAGGTTTGATTCCAGTCAAGGGCACATACCTTGGTTGTGGGCATAGCCCCTGTGGGGGGTGTGCAGGAGGCAACTGATAGATGTTTATAACTATCTCTCTCCCTTCCTATCTGTAAAAAAATCAATAAAAATATATTTAAAAAATTAAAAAAATAAAAATAAAAGAACAATAAAAAGATCAGAAATGATTAAAGAAAGGGGAGAATTTATGTGTAGGGAAGATGTTAAAAACAAATACCAGCAGGGCAGTCAATCAAATTAAGCTTAGTCTAAGTTCTGGAACTTCTGCTGGACTCTGGAAGGGGATCAAACCGAAGGAGTGCTTAAGTCAACATCAGTGGATCAGTGGCAAACTCCTGCTGGCATTGCCCGTCGGCTCTAATAGCAAAGTTTGCCGTCTCGTGCAGAGACTGGGGAAGGAAAGCAAGCGTCAGAAACAATTTATATGCCCCAAGAAAGCTCAATTCGGGTTGAAGCTTTAGCAAATATGATTGCAATTTATTTCAAACTAGTGGGTAATGTGACCAGATGTATACCACTAATGACAAGGTCATACTCCTCCATCAACAGTATAAATGGAGAGAATGAAATGTGAAGAAGACTATGACTCGTTGGAGGTTTTGCGGGATTTGCTTACTCATGGTGGTTTAGGTTGGCAATAACTGAGTGGTGCTGTAAGGGGAAGAAGGGCTTGCTGCCATCATGCAGAGGTGGGTGCCCTCAGGAAGATCACCTGGTCACAGGGATGCATTGATGTCAGGTGCTCACTGGAGTATAAAGTAGGGATGTACCAGTGATGAAAGGTAGGTCTCCAGAGTCCCAGGTTTCCTGCAGCTTAATCACACCACAAGGGTCAGTAGGGAGCAGGAGGGGAAGGGAAGGGGTAGACATTCGTGAGGAATCTGAAGATCTGGTTTCGGGCCCTTGTGCCACTTACTGGGTGACTCTGGTTGGACAAGCTTTGTGAGCTCTCTGAGCCTAGACATTTCCATCTGTTACATGGGGTCAGTGCCTCCTGTCCTGCTTAGCCTCAGTGGAGGGTTGTTGTGGGCATCAGGGGACAGAGGACACATGGGCCCTTCCAAAAAGCCTGCCAAGATCTGCTCCAGTTGTTTTTTATTATTTGATGGTAACCAGCTCTCCAGTGGGAGCCAGAGCTGGAGCCGGAGCCATGCGATGGTTCTTACTACAGCCTGGAGATATTTTAGGAAATAACCAATACAAGATGCACTGGGTTGGAGCCACGATAAGACTAATAAGTCTTGACAGTCTGCTGTTTGATAAAATTAATAATTCTTGAGAGAACCATTGTAAAACCCTACAGGAGGGAAAAGCAAAGTGCAGCTGGAAGAGAGCTTAAACCCATGTGGAAACTTGAGAACCATACACAGAAGGTCGGCTCTCATCCAGCTGCCATGAGGCAGGTTACACACATGTGCACACACATGTACACAGATATATACACACAGTCACACATGCTCATGTGCATACAAATACACACCCCACACAATACATCTACATGTACAATGCACATAGCACACATGTACACACACACACACACACAGACACACACTCACCCACATGTGCGCACAGGCCACAAGCACCAGCTTTGCTGGCTGGGTCACAGGAGACACTGGTGAATAAGGAAGATTAGTAGTAATGTTAAGAGTGGATCAGTGCCCCCAGCTTTAAGGAAATGCCCTGACTCTGAAATTTTAAGGCAAAGCAGTGACAATGGTTTGCACCGTCCAACTTCTCGCTGCTGGAGAAGCGAGTGCTCTTGTCACTTTGGGATTCGTGGCTGCTGTGTACAGCCAGTGAGACAGGGCAGTGAGGGGTGGGTTTCAATGAGCAACGTCTGAGATGATCTAGGTTACAAAGGGAAGTAAAGAGTATTGCTCTTCCTGTGTCCTCAACCTTTCGCTCCGCTGTCTTTATCAAGACTGTCCCTTGATTGGAGCCAGGCATTCGGCTGGCCAGAGGTCAGCGCACAGGCTGCAGGCAGAACTGCAGGGCTGGGGAGCGCCAGGGGCAAACCTGCCAAGACAGTCAAGGTCCCGGGGAATCTGTCGAGAGTCTGGCCTGCAGGCAGACACTTCTGCACTGTGCTGACCAAATGGGTGTAAAATAGCACGGCGCCGTGGGCTTGCTTTGTGTGTCCCAGCTCACCAAAGATGGGGACTGAGTGGCTTGAAGGGCATGCCTGCCTCTGCCCCTAATGGTGCCCCAAGTCTCCCGAAAAGGGTCTTTCATGTGGCCCTGCATATATATTTCCCTCCGTGGACACCCCTGGGCCTCAGAATTAGTCCCCGCATCCACACCTCAGTCTGATGTTCCCACAGGGGGAATGAAACCAGAACAGGATGAGAGAATGACCAGACCGGGAGGCCTGTGGATCGATGGTGAGTCCAGGGTGGAAGTTACTTCTATTCTGCAGTGTAGTCATCAAAAATATGTAGGAACTAGAACCAAAGAAATGAATGAGTGCCCCCTAGGGTGATGGCACCCACCATGAGGTCCTTCTGGGGAGACCGGCCTCCCTGGACTTGAGCCAGTCAAAGTCTCTTCCCTTCTGGATGCATCAGCTATGGCCCCAGAGAGAAGAAATTCAGCTGAGATGCACCAGATAGTCCCTCCTTTCATAAACAGTGAAGGACCCTGCTCTATACTCAGGGTCCCTCTCGCCCTTCCACCTGCCTTCTCTTCAGCCAGGTCTGGTGGAGTGTGACCTGGGAAATCTCCACGGGTGTCCTGATTTGTGGGCTGGGCCCTTTTGGAATCTCCAGGGTCTGGCATTGAGACTGGCGCATTGAGTCCTGCAGGGAATGTCTGACTAAATCGGGGTGGGGTGGGAGGGGAGGCAGCCTGTGGTCCATGCTGACTTGAGGAATATTCTGCCCAATTGCAATGTGTGCACATTACTTAGATCCTGGTTCAAGCAACGAACTAAAGAAAAATTACAAGCCAGTTGGGAAATGAGTACATTGCATATTTGGTGATACTAAAGAATGGTTATATTCTAGGTGGGATAATGGTTTTAGGGTTATGTTTTTAAAAAGAGTATTTCTTTTTCACAGATGGATAGAACCTGCTTGGAGAAGAAATGACAGGGCATCTGGGATAAACTTTAGAATTACCTGGGGCGTGGAATGGGGGCAAAATGGGCTGTGAGGTCGGTCACCTTTAGTCCATCATACTCTTCTATTTTGTTTGAAATTTTTCTTAATCAAAAGCTTTTTAAGAAGCTGGTCTCTTGAACAAAAATCTGAGTAGATATAGAGAAATAGATATTTTTAAACGCTTCTCTTATCACTGTGCTGCTTAAAACCCTTCCTGGCGCTGCAAGGATGGTGCAGCGTGCTGGGAGCAGTGCCTGTGAGCTCTGGGATAGCGTCCCCCACCTCCCTGCCAGCCTAGAGCTGCTGGTGGCCTCTGCCTCCTTCCTTTCACCTTCCCCTGAGCTGGCTGTTCACCTGAGCAGGGATGTCAGCATCAGTTTATCTCGTCATCTGTGCCCATAGGCCTGGCCTTCCCTTCCCTCCATGTCTGTTACTCACAGACTCGGGTGTCCCTGAGCGCTCTGGACAAACACCGCTGTGCTCACACAGCCAAGTGCTGCCCGCCAGGTTGGCTCGGCAAACAGCTCACAGTGAAGGGCAGGAAAGAGAGAGAGGTGCCAGGGGAGCGTGGAATCCTCACTTAGTTCGGGAGCCGCCCAGCACCTCTGCCAAAAACACTGATTCGGTCTGGAGGGACTCAAGGCTGAAAGAAGCGTGACCAGCTTCCTTTTCCTCTTCCCACAACCGGTCCCTCCTTACTTGAGCCATCTTACTATCCGTCTCAGTTTGCCTGGGCTGCGATGATAGAATACTATAGGTGAGTGGCTTAAACAACACACATTTATCTTCTGGCCATTCTGTAGGCTGGACATCCAAGAGCAGAGCCAGCAGGTCCAGTTGCTGAGTAGGACCCTCTCCCTGCAGATGGCTGCCTTCTCCTTGTGTCCTCACAGGAGGGTTGATGGTGAGAGAGAGACTGAAAGAGGGAAGGAAGCTGGGAGGGGGCGAGAGAGAAAACTAGCTCTCAGATATCTCTTCTAGGAACACTGATTCCATGGTGAGGGCCCCGCCCTCATGACCTCATTAAGCCTAATTAGTTCCCAAAGGTCCCATATCCTAATACCACCTCATTGGGGATTAAGGCTTCAGCATATGAATTTGGGGGTGGGGTGGCCTACAGTTCAGTCCATAGCACTGTCCTTTCTGGGGTCACCACTGTTGCAAACAGTGCCTCAGTGCATCCCCTTGGCTCTTGAAATGAAAAGCGTCGGATGCTCACAAGGGTTCTTTGGGAGACCTGCCTTCACTGTTGTGTGGGAGAGGCCTGGCCTGCCACTGCCTGGCGCTGGCTGCTTCCTGGCCCACACGACAGACCCCTGGTCCCTGGCAGCAGGGAGACCAATGACCTGGCACACGTCCAGTCTCTGGGGTTTAGTACCAGGTCTAGCGCGTCCCCTCTACATCTGAGGTCATAGTGAGTGGCCTGAGTGGCCTTGTTTCTCTCCCATGAAAATGGTACTGCCAATGCCCATTCGTAGGCTGTGTTCAGATGGAAGCTGGTGACACCTGTGATATGCTCCATGCCAGACCTGGGTGCATGCTGGGGCTGTGACTCCTGAGATGTGGCTGAGCCTTTCCCAGTGCTCTCCAGGGAGTGGCTCACTTAGTAGACTGAGGTGGGATCAGCCTGCACCCAAGCTCTTTCCCAGCTTTCCCTGCTATCATGGGTCATCCCTCTATCTAATCCCCATCTAGAGCTTAGAGGCCCAGCCAGGGGATTCCCTTCTTCTCCCTCCACCAGTAATACTTTCTGAGATTTACAAAAGACAGGATGAAGTCTTGACTGCTGACCTTCACCGAATCCTTGCAGCAGCTTTATGAAGTGCTCTTAGATGCCAGGCAGGTTGGGTTTGAACCCCAGCCCTGCCCATTTCCTCCTGCACAACCCTGCCAGGTCACTTCCCTCTCCTGATCCTTAGAGTCCTCATTTGACAAGTAGAGTGATGTTTTCTTCTCTGAGTTGTCATGAGAACCAATGACCTCGTGTGAATGGAGCTCAGTGCTCAGAAGGCGTGGGTGCTCATTAGTCGGGGTTCTCATCATTCACTCTGTTGTTGGATGGGGAACGAGGGCTTCTGTGTCATTTGTCCCAGGTCCCACAGCAGGGGGAGCTGCACGGGGATCCCACACAGCCAGCCTCCTCGCCTTCCTGTTGCTCAGTTGCATGCCTTTCATCCCCGGCCTCGTGAGCTGGACCCTGAGCACACGGGCAGAATGAACGTTCAGAAGAGTCATTTGATGGGGTGAACAGGGCACCTGGGATGGAGGACTGATTCTGTGGTGTTGGAGTGGCCTCTCTCTCCAGTGAACAGTGAGCCCTGTCTGCCAAGAAGAACTGGAGTCTGACAGGGCTGAAGGGAAGGGCATGGTGTTTGACTGGGGGCTAGCTGCTACTCAGTTGTTGACTGTTGTTCACCATGTCCTGTGCTGTCCTTGTTTCCAGTGTGGAATAATTTATTGGCTATTTGGTGGTTCAGGCAGGATATCAGAAGTCTGGGACATGTAACTAAGAGGCTTCAGCCTTCTTTTATGGAGAGCCTTAAAAATTCACAGTGCCGCGTGCGTGTGTGTGTGTGTGTGTGTGTGTGTGTGTGTTTATGCATGCTTAAGGAATGAGAATTTCTTACTCATTTTTTTTTTGTATTGCATTGAGCCTGTCATATTCTTAGCATCACATTAGCTGTCACCAGGATGGATTATAATTTTTTAAAATATGTTTTTATTGATTTCAGAGAGGAAGAGAGAGATAGAAACATCAATGATGAGGAACCAAACCTGTAATTCAGGCATGTGCCTTGACTTGGAATTGAACCATGACCTCTTGGTTCATAGGTTGATTCTCAACCACTGAGTCATACTAGCCAAGCTGGATTATAATTTTTTATAATTATTTCCAACACACCTCTTCCTCTCTCACCAACATTCCTAATGATCTGAAAGGCCTATAGTTAAATAGTCAGATTGGCCACCTGAGTAGCTAACCTCTTCTAACATCTGGTTAACTGCAGGAGCAGAAATACACTGGGATGTTTGCAATGGCAGAGAGGGACCCAGGGAGCAACGTGAGAGGGATCCAGACTGAAGCCACTTTTGACCTCTCTGCACAGGTGAGGATTCTTTCTCTTGAGTGGTTCTGGGCAGTAGGTCACCTGCACAGAACCAGTGTCTCTCTCTGACCGAGCCCAACTTCACACACTCTGGCATGAGGCACTTGGATTCACAGCAGTCATCTAAGTGCTTCAGCGGAGGTGGACTTGTGCTCACCTCCACAAGTCTAATACCAGTGTTTACACAGCACCTACTATGTGCTGTATCCACCTCCAGGAGTCTAATATCAGCAGTGCTTACACAGCACCTACTATCAATATGTGCTATGTCTCCCTCCAGGAGTCTAATACCAATATCACACAGCATCTACCATGTGCTGTGCTTACCTCCAAGAGTCTAATACCAGTCAGTGCTTACACAGCACCTTCTATGTGGTAGGTGCTGTTCTAAGCACCTTCCATGCACTCAATAAATAATGCCTATGACAACTCTATGAGAAAGGTGCCAAAGCCGCTTGGGTGTCCTTCTTGACAATAGCAGTGAGTGACAGGAAGGGATGTCGTTGTTGGTACTCTTCAGCACACTGTGCATCAGGAGGGCACTGTCCGTGCTACATCTTCCTCACCTGGAGCTAGGTCTTCTGTGCTGGCACTGTGCCATGCTCTTATTTGTTACCTGCACAAGAATTCATAGGACAACCAAAGCTAACATTTCACAGTCATACCTTTCCTATCTACTACATGTGATGAACTTCAAGAGTTTCTCTCCCCTTCTCATTAATTAAAAGTTGCTTGAGACAAATGACCCTCTAGATTTATATTTCCACTGTGGGTCACAATCAATCAGCCACATGCAACCCTACTCTGCAGATTCCCCCCCCCTCCCCACCCCCGCAATTCTTTACCTCCTACTCCCCCTGAAAAGAGAAAACAGATGTGTACTCATTTCACTTTCCTTTATAGTTTCTTGTTTGATATTGGGTATCCAGAAGAACTACAAAGGAACAAACACATTTAGAAGTTCTTTCTAGAAATGACTTTGTGTACATGTAAGTATGCAAGCATGTGCATGCGTGTAGGTGTGGCTGATACATGTGTGTGTGGCTGGTCGACCAGGTCTTCTTTTCTGCTGAGTTTGGACTTTAGAGCCTGGGCTTTGTAAGTAGGTTTCCTGACCCACAAAGACTAGGTGCTCAGTGTTGAGAATGACAGGTTCTGTGAAGGCTGTGTGGGAGGGTGCCCTGCCTTTCCTCCTGCCCTGGTGCTGGCCGTCTTCAGCAGCCAGTGATGTCCAAGGCCATGATAACAGCAACATGAGGACCGCCCTTTAGTGAAAGCTCACTTTGAGCTCGGCTCTGTGACAGACGCCCTCTGCACCATATACTGTATCCCCCCACAGCCCAGAACTGTCAGCGAGCGGCTTCTGTTCGTTGAGCACGCGCATGCTGGGCCCAGGCTTATCCCTCCACCTGCCACATGGTTAAATGTTCTATGCCAACAGGAACGTATTACTGTCCCTGTTTTACAGGTGGAGAAACTGCAGCTCACAGGGGTTAAGAAGCTGATTCTGGCTGTGCACTTCATGAGCAGGTCTTGGGTCCTAGTGTGATGATCCCTCACAGCTTAGCGTTCCTGCTAAGAGATGGGGGCTGACATCTTGTGGGTTTGGGCTGACCAATGTTTCCTCTCCCTAGACATGGTATTGAAGTCACCTTGCTGTTATTAAAGGGAAAAAAATACACTCAACCACATTATTTATTTATATGTTCCATCTTACAATTATTTTTCCCTCAAAATAATTTCCCTGTGCTGGTCCCATTTCCCCTAAACAGCACAAATGATGTAGCTCCCTGGTGTGCACCCATAATGATGCAGGGACTCTGGTGAACACTGAGTCTTCAGAGGACGGCACAGAGGAGGTGGAGGTCTCGTGTGCTGGTGTGCTTCTCCTTCATGTCCCTTTAAACTATTAGAGCGTATCAAAGAGCCTCCACTCCCTTGAGGATTGTCCCAGCTTCTCACAGTTTTGGGTTATTCCTTTCCCTATGTTGGTTGTTTTATTTTATTTTTTTAGGGTGGTGGTATGGATAGTTTAGAGGTAAAAGTTTTATTTTTATACTTTATGCTAAGTTTAACAAATAAATGAGGCTAAATTCTCTCCGGTGGAGGTATCTTCATTTTTATTTATTTATTTGTTTTTTTAATCCTCACCCAAGGATATTTTTTCCATTGATTTTTTAAAATATATTTTTATTGATTTCAAAGAGGAAAGGAGAGGGAAAAAGGCATAGAAACATTGATAATGAGAATCATTGATCAGCTTTCTCCTGCACGTCCTCTCCCCTCCCCCCCACCACTGGGATCGAGCCAGCAACCTGAGCATGTGCCCTTGATCAGAATCAAACTCAGGACCCTTCAGTCTATAGGCCATTACTCTATCCACTGAACCAAGCCAGGTAGGGCATCCATTGATTGTTTTTTTGTGTGTGTGTTTGTTTGTGTGTGTGAGAGAGTGGATGAGAGGGAGAGAGAAAAATTGATGTGAGACACATTGATTGGTTGCCTCCTGCACACACCTTGACTGGGGCTGGGAATTGAGCTTGCAATGGAGGTATGTGCCTTTGACTGAGAATCGAACCCTTGACCCTTCAGTACCAGGGCCAATGCTCTGACCACTGAGAAAACTGTCCAGGGCCATCTTAATTTTTAGAACTTACAGCATGACCACTCTGCTAGCCTTCAGCAAAGCATGATACTGGGAGCCGACACACATGGTGTGCATTATGTAGATCAGCTACAACGCCAGCGTTTGGGCTGATGCAAACTTTCCAAATCAAGTGTTTTTGCCAGAAGTGACAAACCTCCTTTCCCAGAGCATATCAGATGTTTACGGGGCCTGGTGGCCTCCTGCCATTCCTTCCCCCCACATATTTCCTGCCAGGCCAGTGGTTTCTGCTACTACCCCTTTCCCCTCGGGGTGTAATCATCTCACCACACGGGCTGTTGTTGTTTTTTGTTTGTTTGTTTTTTACTGCACCAGCCTCAAACAGTTCCTTTCTTTGAGAAGTCCTGGCTGGCCTGCCAAGACCAGGGCAACCTCCGGAGACTTCTCTTAAAAGGACTCAGCCATGTCCATTTATATCTCTGCAAAGCCCTTGCACATGTGAAAACTTTGCCTGCGCAAACATATGTCAGAACGGGTTTTCTTAGGCTTTGACACTGTGTTTCTTGGCCAGAAGGAAAGTGGAATCTACATACTTTCGAATCTGAAACCTGAGATAATCTTTCCATGATCAATAGCTTGTTGGTTTAGTACAGTCACATCTTCAATATTGTCAGCTCCAATTAAATGTGCGTTTCCCCTGGACTGCCCTGCCTGTCCAGGGTGCCTTGTATTCAGAGCTGGCCATCGTGGTATTTCAGGGTAACACAGGTGGTGAGCCAAATTAGGGAGAACCAACGGGTTAGGGGAGCATGTCCGTTGCGATCCTGTTCTGCTGGCTTCAGGGGGTAAGGGAGGAAAACTGGGTTCTGAGCAGAGACTTAAACAGAAACCTTCACTTCTTCTTACTTCTCCCTGACCAGGATTCTTTTCAGACTATTTTGAGCTGAAATCCTTGATCATGTTAAGGAGACAACCTGCATGCCACATTCTAAGATTCTCTTTCTTTACTTTTTAAAATTTTGTCTTTATTGTTGAAGGTATTACAGATGTCCCCTTTCCCCACTCCATCCCTCCCCTCCCCAGGCCTTCACCACACTACTGTCTGTGGCCATGGGTTATGCATATACTAGTATGTACCGTATTTTTCGGACCATAAGACGCACTTTTTTCCCCCCAGAAGTGGGGGGAAAAAGTCCCTGCGTCTTATGGTCCAAATATAGCCTACACATATACTTTAAAAAAAAAGTTTTTTTACTTGCCCGGCTCTGAGTGGTCTTTGTGTGCTTGCCCGGCTCTAAAATGGTTCTAAATGCTGCTATTTACTTTACAGGGTTGATTACATGTGTTTATGACTGTGATGTTGGGTTTTACTGCACATAAAATATTGCAATATTTTAGGACACTATTTGTTTCAGAATCTTTTTTTCTTCATTTCCCTTCTCTAAAAACTGGTGCGTCTTATGGTCCGGTGCGTCTTATGGTCCGAAAAATACGGCATATAAGTTCTTTGGTTGATCTCTCCCTACCCAGTCCTCCCACCCCTGCCTTCCCCCTGAGATTCCTTAGTCTGTTCCATGCTTCTGTGTCTCTGGATATGAGTGAGATCATGCGATATAAGATTCTTTTTCTTATAAGATAGAGAATCATTTAAAAATGGTTCTGAGGGCTTGTATGTGTGAACCTTTTTTGGGGAAGTTCTGAAAGAGCCATCAAAGCCTTAACTAAATTATATTTCTCTTTATACAAGTCAGAATGGTATGGGCTGAGGGCCTAAGCAGTGTGGGAGCAGGGCATGGCTGCCTGTTGGTTTTGATGGCTTTGAGCACACTGTTTTGGCCTTTGGTTAGTTGGCTGCTGTTTGAATGATAGGCCTTTCTCATGGAGACAGTTATATTCATGGCCCGGGTCACAGGGATGGGCAGGAGGAACCAAGTGATTAGTCCTGAAGGAGTGATGCCCACAGACAAAAGGAAACACATAGGCATGGACCTGGGTCCCAGATCACTGGATGTCCATTCTGTCTTGTGAACCTCATAGGTGGGATGTTTGGGGGACAGGGATGTATGGAGAGCTGAATGGATAGTACTGGGCTTTTAGGGGTCTGGGTGTTGGATTATTTAAAATCAGAGCTTCAGTGTGTCTAGAGAGAAAGATGTTGATCATTGAAGAAAGTCTTTAGACGTTGAAGCCCGGTGGCTCAGGAGTCGCACACCTGTCAGCCCACCATTATCTCATAGAGTCCAGGAAGGAGGTCTCTTACCCAATGAAAATTTATCCAGTGAAAATTGGCACCTTATTTTCCTGATGGAAGAGTCGTTGAGGTGCTTTCATTTCTAGTCATTTTCCCAGGAGATGGAGGTGAGTGTGTGAGCTGAGGTGGTGGCATAGGGCCGTGACCTCACAAGGCTGAGCCAGACGACTTCGTTGTCTCCTCCTCTGCTGTGACGTTTCCCAAGTGGGCGCACTTCACGATGCAGGTGTTTCACAGTCGTCCTTGCACTGAGCCGAGGTGACGGAATGAGCTTTAAGAAGAGAAATGCCGTAGCTTTGCTGTTTCTGTAGGAGGTTGTAATCCACACGCTGTGCGAAGATGCTGAGAAGATGTACGACAGAAATGCCATGCACGGGAACTACGCCTCGGTCTTCGCCCAGCTCGTTGTGGGTGGACGGTCTCAAGGTCAGTCACCACAGAAAACGAGAATGATCCTCCTCATCATCACTGCTCCCCGGTGAGCTCTTGGCCCTCTTGTAATATTTGTGATGATAAAGTCGATCAGACATTTAGATGTTATACACTGTTATCTGCGATCAACTGTGTCTTGCCCCAGGAAGTTGTAAAGCTTTATTCCTATCTTTTAAAAATATATATATTTTTTTATTGATTTTTTACAGAGAGGAAGGGAGAGGGATAGAGTTAGAAACATTGATGAGAGAGAAACATTAATCAGCTGCCTCCTGCACTTGGCACTGCGAGGCCTCAGAACTAGGCTGCAGGTGTGTCTGTGAGGGCTTTGCATGTGTCCTGTGGGAACCGGGACCAAAGCCCTGGCTGGCCCCACCTCTGACAGTGCCCCTGGTGTCACTGTTACTGAGTAAGGGCTTTCCTCGCCTCTCTGGTCTGACATTCTGCTGCCTGGACCACATCCTTTCCCATCACAGCAACTGCTCAGACAGGCAGGTGTGGCCCCAGAGACCCCACCTGAGGCCCAGGGAGACACAGCTGTTTAAGGTAACAGCAAGAGCATCCCCAGCCCCAGCCCCTGCACAGTGCATCACACTGGAAAGGACTTTGCATTCAAGTGGCGTAGGGCCTGGAAGTAGCAGGGACAGCATTTCTGAGGCTGGCGTGGATTTTCCCTGAGGCTCCTTCTCTTTCTGCTCTCTCTAGGTCTGCCTGCAGTGGAGAATGGGATTTTACTATTTGACAAGTTCAGATAGCAAGGGATAGCCTGCTGGATAAGTGAGTGGTCCTTCCTTACCTCATTTCTTGTGTGTGTGATCTCATTGTTCCCAGCTCGGGCCTGGCTCTTGGCCTCTTGGGCTGCAGGTCAGGACTTCGTTCTCATTACCACTCCTGCTCACTGTTGACAACTAACTGGAAAATGCAGGTAAGCAAACAGGACAAAATCAAAATGATCCGAGATGCTACTACTCTGACATAGTGTGTGTCATATTTTAACGTCTTACTTTTTAGATTTTTCTCTCTGGTGGTATACCTTTCTAAAGAGAGAAATGTTTTGAGTTTACTGAATGAGATCCTCTTAGGAATTCTTCTTTATAACTTGAATCTCTGCTTCACCTTATATGTCAGATGTTTCTGTGCAGCAGTAAACACACGTGCATGGTCAATGTTAACACTCCTGTGAAAGACTGTGAACTAAATGATCTATGACTTATGTGCTCAGTCACTATTGTTGGGTATTTAGGGTGTTAGTGTCCGTGTTGCAGGTGATAAAGCGAGCACTGCTGGGTGGTTCCTGTCACAGGTGCTCCGGGCCACTGCCCAGCTTCCCGGGGTACAGCCCAGGTGGCTAGACAGCAAGGTGAAGGCAGCTTCTCCAGCCGTAGTCCGGGGCTCACAGCGCTCTTTGCAGAGGCTCAGAAACATCAGTTCCTTTCCTTTCCTCAGCAGCATTTCCTGTATTCAGTTAAAATTCTGGACCACAGCCACATTTACTAGTAAATCTGTAAAGCAGTCAGGCTCGCTCCTGCTTTCCTATGGATTTTCCATTTGCACTTCACTCCTTTTCGTTGCTTGCAAGATCTTGTCAGCAGATAAATGGCATGGATGCCAAAAGTTTAGTAAAAATGGGCGGGAAACAGACTTAAAGTGGACCCAATTCTGTTTGTTATCTCTCCTGCCCGCAGCCCTTGAATTGCTTGAATGTAACAAAGGCTTCTTTGCAGCATCCCTGGTGAAGCCCTCGGGCCCCAAGAGCTGCCAGTGCCCATGACCCCAGATGCCTACACATTTCCTGACCGCCGTGGCATCACTCCACTGTGATCGGAGGGCAGCAGAACTACAGGTGTGAGCTCTCCCTATCGCCCCCACCCTCAGGGGGCCTCTATGGCTTGGACAGCCCTCTCCCAGAAGGTGGACCCACTGGCTTAGCATTCATCTAATGCACCAGAGATTAGAAAGTAGGTTAGGCCAGAAAGAAAAGTGGTAGGAAGCTACCTCCTCTGTAGAAAATAGGAGCATACATAGAATACTCTTTGATAAGTAAGATTTTATTTTAAAGCCATTCCATTGACATTTAGGCTGCTGTCCTTCCTTCCCCCTCCTCCATATAGATAGTACAGAACAGCAGCAGCAACACAGATGTTTTGTGGGAGGAGTCCCACTTTGAGGGTGTTGGTTTATCACTTAATCAAAAATGGGTCAGTAAATAGACATGATGAAATTGCTATCAAAATCCCAGTTGCCTTTTTTTTCTGCAGAAATTAAGAAACTGGTCCTAAAATTTGTATGGAAATATAAGAGATGTAGAATAGTGATAATAATCTTGAAAAAGAAGAACAAAGATGGTGGACTCATACTTCTTATTTGAAAAGCTATAGTAATCAAGGCAGTGTGGTATGGACATAAGAATATCTATCTATCTATCTATCTATCTATCTATCTATCTATCATCATCTATCTCCACAGTGGAATAGGACATAGAAATGTAGAAATAAACCCTTATATTTATGCAACAATGGTGACAAGACAGTTTAATCAGGAAAAAAAGTCTTCTCAACAAATGTGCTGGGACAACTAAATATTCACATGCAAAAGTATAAAGTTGGATCTTTGCCTCATACCATATATACAAATGAACTAAAAATGGGTCATAGATCTAAGTGTAAGAACTAAAACTATAAATCTCTTAGAAGAAAACATAGGTGTAAATTCTTGTGACCTCAATTTAAGCAATGATATATTATTAGATGTGATACCAAGAACAAGCAGTCAAGGAAAAAATAGATAAATTGGACTTGATCAAAATTAGCAAACTTTTATGCTTAAAAAAAAGACAATTCACAGAATGGGAGAAAATATTTGCAAATTATGTATATCATAAAGCTCTACCATCTAGAATATAAATGGAATTATTATAGTCCCACAATGAAAAAGATATATGACCCAATTAAAAATGGGCAAAAATCTAAATAGATACTTCTCCAAAAGAAAATATACAAATGGCCAATAAGCACATGAAAAGATGCTGAACATCGTTGTTGTTAGAGAAATGCCAATGAAATCACATTAAAATACCACTTCACACCCACTCTAGTCATTCTAATAGAGACAGATAACAAGTTTTGGCAAGGATTTGGAGAAATCGGAACCCTCATAAATTGCTGGTGGGATGTAAGATGGTTTTGCTGATTTGGAAAAGACTGGCAGTTCTTCAAAACTTTAAATGACCCCGCAATTTTACTCCTGGGTACATATGAAAACACTGCCCACATGGGAATTGGAAACATCTGTCCACATAAAAACTTGTACACAAATGTTCATAGCATAATTATTCTTAACAGCCAAAACTGTAGACACAACACAAATAACTGTAAACTGATGAATGAATAGATAAAATATGGTAGGTCCGTGCAATGGAATATTATTTTGGCCATAAAAAAGAATGAAGTACTTGTATACACACAACATACATGGAAATTGAAAACAGTGTGCTAAGTGAAAGAAGCAGACACAAAAGCCACATGTAGGATTTTGTTTACATGAAATGTCCAGAAGAGACAAATGCCTAGAGGTAGAAAGTAGATAAAGGTTGTTGGGACCTGAAGGGTAGGGAGTATGGTACGGGGTTTCTTTTGGGGGTGATGAAATGTTTTGGAATTAGATAGTGACAATGGTTGTACAGCTTTGTGAATATACCAAAAGCCATTGAATCGCACCCTTTAAAAAGGGGGTGGGTGTTATGGTGTGGGTTATATCTCAACAACTCAAGTGGCTTTATGGACGGTGTTCACACTCAGGCTCTAGTGTTGGGTTGATGATAGCGGCCCTCACGCCTGCCTTTGTCAGGGACACTGCCGAGCCTGAAAACCTGCTTTTCCTCATCAGCATCTCCTGGGGAGGCACCTGCCCTGCTGCATTCTGAGGGAAGTTGCAGGATGTGAGGCTGTGAGACTTTCCCTGTGGGCAGGTGGGAACTGCCTGACCTCCTTGCTGGGGGTGCCATGTTCTTCCCCTTTGTTAGCCCACCTCTCTTTCCACTACTTCTCCCGCAGCACAGGTTCGGGTCCGTACCCCCAGGTAAGCAGCACCATTCCCCTGTGGAGAACAAGAGTTCAAGATTCAACGCGATGCTGGAAGCACTGACCCCTTCGAGATTAGCGATGGCTTTCCAGGCTATTGGCGCCATGAAGGTGGCTGACGCTCATTTAACTTACCTCACTGTCATTCTCTGCAGGTCCCCAGGGTGATCATTCCTGGAGCTGAGCTTCCTGGGCCACAGTTGGTATAAGATGGCCAGTCACTAGGTAGAGACCAAGAGTGCCAGCTGGCCACACGGAACATTCCCGCACACTGTTTCCACGGGGTCTGCCGTTTATCTGCAGCCAGCTGTGTGTTGCCGGTCACGGTGCGGTCACATTGCACTGTGGCAAGAGAGCCACAGACTGTGTCTCTGGGAGCATGGCTGGTTCAGAACAAGCATGTCTGCTGAAAAGCAGCCGGAGCTGCCCCGTGGACGAGGCTGGCAGGACTTGGCTGAGTCCACAGGGCCACGTGGAGTGTGGCATCAGCACTGCCGGCTGGAGTCTGGGAGGTCAGACCTGCAGAGGCCTTTTCTGCCTCCCCTTTCCCCATATGTTGGTTTGGAAAGAGTGGCCAGGAGAGAAAGTTCTGGAAGGCCCCCTCCTCACCCTCAGGACTCAGCACTGTGTTCTCTGAGCCCTCTCTGTCGCTTTGCATGAGGGAAAAGCCTGCTTCCAGCTTCCCTGGGCTTGGTGAAGCTGGGAGAAAGTGAAGATGCCCATGGACACACATTGGTGGCTTGATCCAGTGTTGCCATCAACAAGAAATACATTTCATCCACCTGATTCCAGGCCTGACATCAGCACACAGTCGCCTGAATTGTAGGAAGTTTCTTCCTTCATCACTTCTCCCAGGTCTGTCCCATTCACAGGAAGCTTGCCAGACACCAGTTCTGTGTGGTGCCCTTCCCGCCAGCAGGCACAGCTGTGACGCTGAAAACATGCTCAGTGCCGAGCCAGCGACTGACGGCCACCTGGGGCGCTGCCCCTGCGCTCTTGCAGGGGGTCAGCGATGCGCAGCTCTGAGGTCCCGCGTGGGGAGTGGCTCAGATTCTCCCCTGGGCTAAACCGTCCTGTGGATGAACGAGGCCCCAGGAGAAGCTTATCATGCAGGCACAGGATGAGGCCAGGGCTCCATGGGGCATCAAATGCTGAGGAAACCGACTTCGCGTCTGTGATAGAAGCTGTTTCAGGACTCCAGAGAGAGGCAAAAGGAGAGAATCCAGATGAGCCCGTGATGATGGGACAGAAGTCTGCACAGGAGCCCTCTGTCCCAGTGGCCTCCCAGCAAAGAGCTGATGGGAACTACCCCAGGTCTGGAGCAGGGAGGGGAGACAGAATGGGTGATTTTTCAAAGGCAGCATTCTCCAGGCTCCGGAACATCATGGAGGGGCCAGTTGCCGCCGAGCCCAGAGGCTCTTGCAGGACCACCCTACCATCAATTCCTTGTTGGGTGTCTGACACGCGTGCTTCATTCCCGGCGGAGTGGAGGCCTTCTCCCAACCGTGGGCTATGAAGCCAGATACCCTGGGCTCCAGTCTCAGCCTGGACATGACCGCAGTGGGTTTCTGGGCCAGTCAGCTGCTCTCTCTGCCTCAGTTTCTCCTTCTGTAAAATGGGCTTTCCGCTGATGCGAGGCACAAGTGAGGGGGTGCTGTGCTGGTGTAGAGCAAGTGTTCAATAGCTCAGCGCTCTTACCCAAGTGGTGCTGGTGCTGCTGGTGCTGCTGGTGCTGCTGGTGCTGCTACTGGGAAGATTGGACTTGCCTGTAGGGAAGGACTACATGGGCTTTTCCAGGAAACAAATGCCTGAATCCTGGCCTCCAGGTGTGAGGCAGTCTGATGCATTTACAGAGGTGCCCAGTGTCTTGGGCGCCTGAAGCAACAGTTACCCCCTCACTGTCACCTGCCCTGCCCAGGAGATGGATTTGCCAAGTGATGGGAGACCCCTGGCAGAGCTTGGCAGGCCTGGGCTCTGCTCGCTCGGCCCTGATGGACAGCAACCCTGGCCACTGTGACCTCATCGCCAGCGTCTGGGAGGATGATCTCACCAGCCCTCTTGGCAGCTCCTCCTCTCCTGTGGCTCAAACGTATGACAGATGTTCTCTGGGCTGAAACCTGAGCCGGTCCCGCTCGTTCTGCTCTCACTGATGAGTGAGAAAATGGATCCCTTTCTCCGACGTGCATTCCTCGTGTATTAGGAAACTGTCACCGCGGCTCCCCACAGTGACACTCCTTCAAGGCTGAGCATACAGGGTCCTTTTAAACTTTGCCCAGATGTCTTACTTCTCATGGTTATCTCTCATTTCCATAACATTTCTCAGGACTTTCAGATTTTCTCTTAAGGGCTTGCCATAATAGCCGTCCTCTCATTTATGTCCAAGATGCCGTGTCAAATTAAATGATTAGCAGGAACAAAAGGACCAGGAAACTAAGATGTTTGGCCAGGGTGGAGGTGGGGCGAGGGGAGAGTCTGGGCGGCCCTTCCCCAAGGAGGAAGGAGGCTGGGAAGTCAGCCTGGGTTGGAGGCTGCAGTAGAGGGAGGGAGTGTGACATGCCAATGAAGGCAGCCTGTTGTTTTCTCTGAGGAGCCTCCCTAATCTTTTATGTTATTATTTTAATCCTCACCTGAGGATATGTTTTATTGATTTAGAGAGAAGAAGGGAGAGGAAGAGAGAAACATTGATTTGTTGCCTCCTGCCCTCGCCCCCACTGGGGCCAGGGATGGAATCTGCAACCCAGGTAGTGCCCTTGACCTGGAATTGAACCCGAGACCTTATTGTGCGAGGGCCGATACTTTAACTACTGATGCTCTAACCACTGAGCATATGGCAAGATTCTTAGCAGAGGTAAGTGCTCAGTACATGTTCTTGTGCCCTTCACCCTGACCCTCATTCGCTCCCATTGTGACGGGGAGGAAGGACGCAGCCCCTGGCCCAGAACAATAGGCCTTCTCCCTTCCTCTCTGCGGTCCTGCCCCGGGCACTACCCTTCCTGTCGGCTTCACATGCACATGCTTGCTCATGTGCTCTGTGAGGGGGCCTGTGGTTGCAAAAGTCTGTCGGGTGCAGGTGGGATCAAGGTGCTGGTGGTCAGGGCGCTGCCTGGGGGTGTGCACCTCATGCAGTGCGCCGGTGACACGTGGGGCACATGCAGGGTTCACCTGTCGAGTAAGGTCAGGACTGCCTCTCGGCAGGTGGGGTGTGGGAGCCAGGAACACTCATCTGGTGCGGGGCCCAAGGCCTGAGCAGACGATGTCCACCCTGGTGGCTGCCAGAAAGCACTGTTTCTGCTCCTCTCATTTCTTTGAGTTAGATGTTCAGCTGGATCTTGTCTCACTAGCATAGACTCCACTGCTCCCATTCCACCCCCCACACACAGCTGACCACGGCCATGGCCGCTTTTCAGCTGCATCCAGACTCAGTCTCCCAATTCTCCACCCCCCGCTCCAAGCAGCTACCACCATCGAGAAGTGAGTATGTGTTGTAAACACTGTTTATCCTCACAACCTCCGTATACTTGAACATCATTATATAAAGGCCCACATCCATTGTAACGACAGTGACAGCCTACATGAATTGATGACTTAGTACAGGCATGCACCTGCCTAGTGAGATCATGGTATATGGAGAGGCTCAAATCCCTCTGGGGCTGAACTGTCTGTCGGTCAGGAGAATCTGGGGGGTGGGGGTGGGGGTGGGGGTGGCAGGAAGGGTCTTCGGGCCTCCCAGGGCATGATCCGCCCGGCAGAGGACAAATGCTGGGAGTCCAGGTGACTGTTCTGTCAGGTGAGGCCACCACTCCCAGCTCTGGGCAGGAAGGAGACCCACCAGGGACAGGCTCAGGGCCTGCTGCTGTGGGTGGTGGGACACTAGGGTGGCGTGGGCCTGGGGCTAATTTTAATTTCTCTGAGCTTTAGTTTTCTCATTGGTAAAAATGAGGCAAAAATAGTCATCTCATGGAAACATTGTGAAAATTCATTGACTTAACGTGTCTCTTTAGTAGCACTATTATGAGCAGATAATATTTATTGGGCCTGTACTATAAGCCATTTCTTTGATAAGTGCTTACGAATGTTAACTCATTTCCATTGGTATGCCCATGTACCTTATATCTGGGGGAAACTGAGGCATGAGAAATAAAAGAATTTGCCTGAGATGGGTACAGAATATGTGGCCTTTGACCCTGGTTAAGGGAGTAGATGGCCCCATGTTGTGTAGATAAGAGTGACATGTAGATATTATTGAAAGACGGGATAGAGTTAAGTAAGAACAGAGGCAACCCATCCAGCACATGTGTGTCTGAGCTGCGAATTACCTGAGTTACAACTTTGTGTCATGGAGGCCGAGAGCCAGCCAGCGAGCCCGGACAGGAAGCACCTCACGTGGCATTCACAGGGACTGCAGCTGGTAGGAGCGATGCTCCTCTTCACCACCTTGCCCCGTGCCCAGTGCCGGGCCAGGTCCAGGGAAGGGGCCCCATGTGGTGTGGTTCTGGTGTCACAAGTGGGATCAGCATGCATGGAAACAGATGGCATGTGTGCTTGCCCTGGGCTCCACAGCGAGGCCATGAATTGCAAGGACTTTGGAAGTGGCCTATCTGGATTTGCATACTGCCTCTGCATGGCCTAGGCTAGTGATTGGACCTGCCCAGACCTCTGAACATACTGACAGCACTCCCTCATGGAGCTGTCGGAGGGCCCGAGAGAGTCAGTGCCTGTGCCAAGTCATCAATTCATGTAGATTTTCATTGTCATTACAAGGATGTGGGCTTTTATATAATGATGTTCAAGTATAAGGAGGTTGTGAGGAGAAGTGGGCCTTTATATAATGTTTACAACACATACTCACTTCTCAATGGTGGTAGCTGCTTGGAGCAGGGGGGGTGGAGAATTGGGAAACTGAGTCTGGATGCAGCTGAAAAGTGGCCATGGCCGTGGTCAGCTGTGTGTGTGTGGGGTGGGATGGGAGCAGTGGAGTCTATGCCATGTGCTTTTCTCCTGGGGTTCATTGAAGGACAAGTGGTCATGAGAGAAGAGACTGAATGACCATCTTTTTGAGTCATAAAGGGAGCCGTATATCAGATGGTGGGCAACTTTTCCCACTTGTGGGA